TTGGTTAGTTTATTTAATACTCAGGAGCGAAGAAGAACATATTCAAAGAAAGAATTTATTTTTTACTAAATTATCTATACAGCCCCGCCCTAACACCAGAACCCCTGACCCTTGGGCTATGAAATACAAAATTTTGGAAGAGGCAGCTTTATTCAACATAGCTATGCACTTGATTAGTTTATTTAATGCCCATGAGCAGAGAAGAAGAATTTCAAAGATTTTTTCATATCACTATATAATCTATATAGCCCCACCCTACCACTAGAACCCCTGATCCTGGGGGGATTAAATTCACAATTTGAGAAGAGACTTATTCAACATAATGTAATGGCCTGGGGTAGACTTTTATTAATTAGTTTATTTTCTTTATGATTTAATTGTGTCAACATTTATTGAAAATATTATCTTGGTTGATTTTATTATGCATTAACTACACTACTACATTTCAGTCCTTTGAATATTTACTCAACGTGGTATTGTCTATTTTTAGCACATTTGACATACTTGTTGTTTGGATTTATACAGGATATCCTACATTTTATGAATTCATGTGCATACCTTCAGAATCTTTGCATGTTGTATTTTACTTGATTATTTATGAGTCAAATAAGCGCTTGACATAGCCATAATTGCACACGATTGTTGGAGTCATGGAAGTTGTTTACATCCCGCCGACATCTTATTTGTGTTAGCCAGAGTTTCGTATTTGAGCAAGTTGTATTTTGTTATGCAATTCGTTGTTATATTATTTGCTTGTGAATATCCACAGAATTAACTTTAAACGAGATTTAATGGTAGTTACACATTTTTACTATGACAGGGCTATTTGAATATCGTCTGCTATACGATTGTAGTTTTCTATCATTAGTCAGCCCACGGGCTGACTAGTTATGGTACGAAGAACTTCCAATGCGCTTGCGTGACCTGGAATTCTGGGAGTGGTTCTGCAGTAAATCACGCCTGCTAATTTTATTTCAGTAAAATCAATTTAGATTGTAAACCAACAAATCCCTATTAAAGACCAAAGTAATCTGTAAATTTAATTCAAAAAGGAATTTCCCGATGCTTACTTTTGTAAAGAAAGTTTCAAACAGTTAACTGGTTCGCAGTAATTTATCTGGTTCGCACATGTGATCATGTGTTCTACGCAGTGAAGCATACATTTGCTACTGTTGGATGAATTTAGTGTTTGACGCGTAAAATGGAGCTCTTTTATAAAATATATTGAAAGTATTTTTACTTATGTATTTAAATCTACAGCACAAACATTGGTTTATTACATATTTTTAGCTTTTCAGTTTTTACTGCTTTTACTTTCGTTTTCACTACAAATCATTTCGATCCCGATGCTAAATAGTGGACAGACTTGTTAAGTCATACATCAGATACTTCGGAAAGAAAATACAACTGGCTAAGCTTGCTCGTTTGTTGCCCCCGCTGAAATTAGAGAATATCAATTTCAGTCTGTCGGACAGTCCATCTATAGTTCTGTCTGTCTGTAACATTTTCACTTCCCGGCAAAATTGCGTGAAGTCTTTGAGCTATTGCAGTGAAATTTTATTTTAAGGTTCAAACGTCAGTGTCATAAATTCATACTTCTGTGTGACTGTGTTAAACTTTCATTTCCAGTCAATATCTGAAGAAGGTTTTGAGTTTTTGCAATTAAATGTAAACCATAACTCCCTATGGCCCCGCCCTGGACCCCCCCCCATCTTAGCATGCTTTTTTTTATCCGTAAATTGGCTTGTTTTTCATAAACTACGACTTGATAATCTAGGTTGTGGCAATCATAATTATGAACTAATAGGCTTATTATATTATAAGAGATTTGATAAATGAATTTGTTTGTCTAAGTAATGTTTGCTTTATTTCAATTCTAATTTTTATGAAACAATTTTAAGCCAAAATTCAGCTAGTTACTAGTAAGTCAAATGACAATAGTTAATAAAATTAGAAAAAGCTCCTAAGCTATACCGTCAAAGCTTACATGTTACCTGTTTGAATGAACAATAAATGTTTATTTTTTATTATTCTAAAATGTACAAGAAAAGAACGAGGGCGCTTTTGAACCTGGACGTAATTGAAAAGTGAAAATTTTATTGACATGTCACATGAAATTTTAACATTTTTTTAATTTATCGGGTTCCTGTGCAACAGGAACGGAAAATAATTTCCCGAAATTGAGCTTTGATTTGCTAAAAAATAACTTGAAAGTTGGCCATATCAGACATTTGGTACAAAATTGTACATTTTGAAACACATTTTTCTAAAAATTTTCTATTTCTGGGTCTTCTCTCCATGATTTTGAAACGTTAGTTGTGTGTATTTTAATTCAAAGAAACGATTACACTTTTTAAAAAAATGGAGAGAAGACCCAGAGACCACAAAAAATGAACTTTTCCCCAAAAAATCCAAATGTGTCAATGTGGTGCGTCTTTGTCCTTTTAAAGACATATGTTTATGTGTATCGGTGATAGCTCAGAAAGTTAGGCTACCTGATCAGTGCACTCGAAGCGAAAAGTTTTTGGTTCGAGCCTGGCATGGGGCGTAATTTTTTTTTTTATTCAGGCAAGCAACCATTTGTTTTGTCAGTTTCGTTTTAGGTACTGATGTATTAAAATTTTGAATTAGATAAATTTTGGTTCAGTTTGGTTCTCAAGCGAAATCAATTCTTATCTTCTATTTTATAATGCACATGTACACGTACCATGCATCTATGCATTAAATATATTTTAGGTTTTATTTTTTGTGAAATATTACTATGTTATAGTACCCCCTAGAAAAAAATGGACATAAATGTTACAATTTCACAATGTCTTTCAAACTAAATGAAAAAAAAAACGATGGACGTGTTTGTAAAACCTGACCAGGTATGTTCAGCCAACCAAATCATGGACATTTAAACCATAAATGTTTCGTACAAATGATTCCTGCAGATCACCCGCCAAATGCGCCCATCTTCTTTACTAGGTATTTCAACAATCCTTTATTTGTATTCTCAAACGAAGGTTCAGTATGGCTGTTTAAGTATCGCAGGGACAAGGGTGTTCCCTTTTCTAGACGCCAAGAGTGATCAACCGGCGGCATGATAAACTCTAACAAGGATGATAGTGAAGCTCATTGGGCTCCGTTTTGTTAAAAATGGCATAATGTCCATATATCCCCTCCCCCTAAAATCTTATAGATCTGATAATGAAATTGTAGGTTTATATAACTTCTTTGATTAATGTTACGTGAATTGGAACTTAAATGTTTATACATGCTTTCCGTTCTTTTGATTTTGAGACAAAAATGCAAGAATCTGCATGCACAAACGCTTCTGTTCCTATGCAGAAAAAAATATGAAGACGATGTTTTAATTTTAGTGCCCAACTCTGCTACTGATTAAAAATTTGTTGAAGGCATTTTTTCAGTTCTCTATGATTGTTTAAAACATTATCACAGAGAAGAAAAATCCACTGGCTGACTCTCTAAGCTTTTTTCAAAAGCTAAACTTGTGGATACTTACAGTAGATGAAACATCTTTTGTAATCCATATTTATTGGTCAATTTGTATCACATGACTACTTCCGAAGGTTATAAATATAAGTGCCTCGCCAGTCTTTGGCAGATAAGTTGCATTGGCAACATAGAGCAGTTGTAGCCTAGCCCTAGGTGAGACAACTGTAAATTATCTCCCAACACACCTAATGTTAGATTTCTAGAGCTTTTTAAATTCAAATCAACTTTGTTACCATTTTATCCTAGGAAGTATGGTTGACAGTATGGACCAAAAATGAATATGTATCCAATATAGATGTGTGATTATCTACTGCTATTTCCTGTTTGATGATCAATTAATAAATAAATTATTCAACTGATACCAAGCCTTGTCCTTATTGAGAAACATGAAACAAGAAATAAGGAGTGACCTTGAGAAGTGTTATGTGTAATTACTTTGTATAGCCCCTCATTCCAGGATGGCCATCCGTGGGGAGCTTACAATAACTATGCACTTGGTTAGTTTATTTAATGCCCAGTTGCCCACAAACAGAAAAGAAGTTTTTCAAAGAATTAATGCATTTTCACTATATAATCTATAGAGCCCCGCCCTAGCACTAGAACCCCTGACCCTGGGGCCATGAATTTCACAGTTTTGGTGGAGGACTCAATGCTGATTACAATCATTTAAACGGTTTGACTGCTCGATGTCCAGGAGTAAGTAAGAAGATTTATAAAGATTGCACTGACTTTAGTGGTTTTAGCCCCACCCCAAGGCCCCAGGGGGGCAGGGACCATGAAATTCACAATTTTTGTTCCCCTCCACCCATAGATGCTGTGTGCCAAATTTGGTTGAAATTGGTTCAGTGGTTGCAGAGAAGCTGAAAATGTTCAAATGCACAACGCACGACGACGGACGAAAACAGATGGCAATAGGTCACCTGAGTTTACTCAGGTGACCTAAAAAAAGCAGGAAAAAGAGTAGATTCGTGTCTTTTATTGCAACAAATCCTTCCAACAAAATTTCAACTGACACTTTAAAGGTACTTGGACACAGATTTGAAGTTAATATTTTCTCATTTTTTCTGTATAATATCACGAATTATATATTTCAATAGCATTTCACACAAAAAATGATTAAAAATCTTTTTTCATTTAAAAGTTATTAAAACTGTTATTTTTTTTTTTGGCGGGTTTGATTAACACATCCTTGCACTTTCACAAATTTTAACTTTATTCTTAATCCTTAAGAAAAGTGGCACTTTTGATGTGTTTTAATGAGAAATATTAAAAGTTTTATCAAGAAAAATAACTTTATTCAGAATAGAAATGTTAGAAAGCAAAACACCTTCACAAGTATCGTAATTCTGTACTAAGAGATGCGTACAAAGTTTAACAAATCGAGCACACTCGTGTTATGTACACAGTTTTTGTAAACAGGACTCAAGTACTGTTATTGTTTATATTTAGAATTCACTGGGTGCGTTCAATCGTCACAGTCTGCTTCCCAGATAGCATGACTACGTTGGCCCAACGTTGGCCAATGGTTGGACCATTGGCCGATGGTTGGCGTTGGGTTTACAACGTTGGCCCAATGTTGGGCCAATGTCAACATCACACTATTTACTCAGAGGTCAAGGTTGGTTGGGGACACAACGTTGGCCCAACGTTGGGCCATTGTTGTTAGCTTGTCACCACTAAGTTGACGGATTTTGTTGGGAGTACAACATTGGTCCAACGTTGGGCCAACATGGTGAATCACGCTCTTATTTTGCTATAGTTTGTTGGACATACAACGTTGGCCCAATGTTGGGTCAATGTCAAGATAACCCTATTTTACTCAGAAGATATGAGGTGAGGACACTACAATGGCCCAACGTCGGACTGCTGTTTACAACGTTGGTTTAACAACGTTGGCCCAATGTTGGGTCAATGTAAATATTACAATATTTTACTCAGAGGTAAAGGTTGGTTAGGAAAACAACGATGGACCAACGTTGGGCCACTGTTGTTAGCTTGTCACCACTAAGCTAAAAGATTTTGTTGGGAGTACGACATTGTCCTAAAAAACACGCATAACGATGTATATCAAATTATATTTTTAGTTTGTGAAACTTTAAAATATGTGTACATGTTTAAACACTACTAGTTCTATGAAGTAAATGTTTAAGAGAAAAAGATAACATAAATTTAACTTAAAGTTAAACAAAATTTAGTATGCATAAAATTAACTTGTATATTTAAAAAAAATACATGTATAAGACCAACAAGACACACACTTTCTAAAGTGTTGCATTTAGGGGGCATTTTCTGAGATAAGAGAACATTTTCTGACCAAGCAATTAGGAGAGGGTTTTTCACAGCGTGAGACTGGCCAGTTTCTATGGTAATCGTGATATCTGATAGCACAGGATGGTCAAATCTGCAATCTTTTAACACGCGCCTAACATTTTATTCCCGGATGTTTCCTACAGGAGAACGTTAAATTGAAGTTTTTATGCTAAAAAGAAAGCTTTGATATGTGTGTTCTTGAATTTGGATTTTTAGAACTATGTCCAGACATTCACATACGGAAATGTAAGTATTATTTCAGATTTTTAAACACAAAATATAAATTTTGTTTCATGCAATCTTTATCTTTTTCTAAGCTTGCTTTCGTCAGATCAGTCGCTAATCACTGCATGTGTCCTATCTGTACAAAACGTATAAATAAAATGTATCATTGATCTATGCTAATTATTAGCTTAATCAAAATCTAATTTGTAAATTTTATTTTTAAATATCTTTGAAATTTTGGCTGGGTCAGTTTCATAAATTTCTCTTGTATTTTCTACCGTTAGGAAAAGAAAGTTTCGAATTGTTACTTTGTGTTTCACATGTTTCAGGGAAATCAAATCTCTTAAGATTAAAGTTCTAATTTTATTTAATTAGTGGAAATAACTTGGTAAATGAAGAGGAGAGTATTTGCTGCCATGTTTCTAAAACAAAATTGCAAAGAATTCCATTGGAAGACAGATAGAAAAATCCGGCTTTTTCAAAGAAGACCGGGATTTAAAAAGTAAGTAATAAAATTAACGTGCTCTGTTCCCCTGAAAAACATTATTAGTTATGCATTTTAATAAATGCAGAAAAAATTATAAAAAATATATCTAAGTTAAAAAAGAAAATGACACCCAAAATTAGTTTACACATGTTAAATCTTCTAATAATCGAAAATTCTATGTAGTTATAGCTTCGAATACACTGAATCAATTAAAAATACTATAAACTTGTGTAAATTAAGTACTGCATTTCTCTTTCTTTCTTACTGAATAAAATTGATTTATTTTTCATATATAGGAGCTGTTTGAATTAACCGCTTGTATGCCGAAGCAATTTCTATGGAATTTCACTACGTACGATCATGAAGGAAGATTAAGAACAGACAGGAAAAGAAAGAAGAAAATTCAAAAATACAATGGAGGACAGTGATTGGTTATTAACCTGTTAATAAAAAGTGTATATAAATAAAAAAAAAAGTGAAATACTTTGGAAATTTATTCTACTATATATATACAAATTTCAATCTAAATGATAAGGGGCAACTTTTTTTATTGTTTTAATTGTATAAAAAAATGTTATTTTTATACTTAGGAACAATAAATTTATCATTGATTATTTATTTTGTTTTGATACATTGTAGGAAGTTTAACAAGTCCGATAATATGTTGACGGTGCGACCGTTAGAGCGAGTGCAAACTCTTCTATATTGTGTTTATTTTGATCGGGCTCGTCAAACCGCACGTGACATTTGGTGCGTTTAGACTCTGACGTCACATAACGTATGTAAGTTGCAATATTCCGAGAAACAGCCTGAACAGTACTGAAAGTAAATGAAGAACGTTTTGTTTTCTATGTATCTTCAATATATATCCATTAAATCAATGCGAGTAAACTTTTTGTTGAACATTTGCCGTGATTCTCGCAAGAACGTAACTTAACAAGTGTTGCATTGTGGAGGACGAAATTCGGCCTGTTAAAAAATTATATAAGAATTAATGTGCTTTAGTCCGATATATATCTCTTCGCACAGGCGTTGCTTTAACTGTATCAAAAAAAAAAATGTTATTTTTATACTTAGAAACAATAAATTTATCATTGATAATTTATTTTTTTTTTTTCGATACATTGTAGCTCGCTATTACTTCTAAATTTACTTAAGCTATCTTGTATTTTCAAGTAGGACTGGTGGTAGATATTTTTCTGATTGAAGAGACGATCGGATTTGTTAATATACAGATTTGTAACAATAAAATGTTTATACACATTGGGCCAATGTTGGTCCAATATATTGGGCCAACATTGGACCAATGAGCAAAATGACATTGGGCCAACGTCATTTGCCAACATTGGCACGACGTTCTTGATGACGGTGGGCCAACATTTGCCCAATGTCGCATTCATTGGGCCAATGTTGGCGCAACGTTGGGCCAATATCTGTAGAAATAACAGTCTACATTGGGCCAACGTTGACCCAACATATCGGGCCAACATTGGGCCGATGAGCAAACTTACATTGGGCCAATGTCATTTGCCAACATTGGCCCAATGTAACCGATGACATTGGCCCAACGTTGGCCCAATGTTAGCATGCTATCTGGGTTACCACAACTGCACGGACTGACAATATATTGTGTGTTTGTTTTGCTTGCGAACGTGTCTACTCTGAATTTTCTGGATTATAGTATTAATATTTTTCATTTATACAAAACGAGATTGCCACTTTTCCTAAATCATCGTTTTCTTGAAAACTATTTGTGGTTTCCGTATGTACTTGACTTCGTCAATGCAGGGGTGGGTAGTTTTAGCCAAACCGGATGTTGGCTTTTTAATCGTAACTGCTAAAACCTATAATGGTTTTGACTTTTCCGGAATTTTTCACCAATTTTACAGATTCATTTTAAAATTCCAAGTGGGGCGCATTCCTCTCGGAAAAAAATTCAAGTATAAAATCAACTAGTGCTAAAAATCAATTATTGGTATCTTACGCGTATATTTGAACATTTTTTTTTTATCTCCGAGAGGAATGCCCCCATGTTTAAAATTAATATTTATGAATGTCGTTTGGTCAGCTGGTGCATGCAGAAGCAAATTTACATTCAATAATTTCATGTTATTAAAACCTTACATTGCAAGAATTATATCTTTCATAAGAAAAATTACTGTAAATTATATAAACGACCATAAACCCATTTTAGCATTAATACATTATTTATGCATGGTAAATAGCGTAGGCTAAACAGATTTCATATACCTCAGTTGTTATTTCAAATAAAAACATTAAAGAATGTAAAGAAATGTATTAGCGTTAGTCTATGCTTTCCATATCTGCATGTCTGTTCTGTACCATTGTTTAACAGAAGCCCTCCAAAGTAGCCAGGTTATAACCAGAATAGGTGTATTTATTTTCGTTTTTATGCCCCCGTTAACGAAGTTTCGAGGGCATATAGTTTTTGTCATGTCCGTCTGTCTGTCTGCCTCTCTGTCTGTTTGTCCGCAAACACTTTATCCTTGCCCATAACTTTTGATTTAGTGGAGTTATGACTTTCATATTTCATATGTGTATTCCTTGTGACAAGACCTTTCTTTGGGTACCACCAAATTTGACCTTTTGACCTTGACCTTGGAGTTTGAACCACTTTTACATGAAAATGTTAAAATTTTACTTTGGCCATATCTTTTGAACTGTAGATAACAGGACATTTATACTTCATGCAAGTTATGTTTGTTAAAAGACCTTTCACCGAAAAACAACAACCTTGACCCTTTGACCTTGACGATTTCCGTACTTGTGAAAAAACTTTAATCTTGGCCGTAACATTTTTATGGTAAAGGATGGGGCTTTCATACTTCATGCATGTAATCCTTGTGAAAAGACCTTTCATTGGATACCAAGAAATTTGACCCTTTGACCTTGACCTTTGAGATTGACCTACTTTTAAAAAAGCAAACCTTGACCATTACTTTTAAAGAGTTAGGGCCAGTGCTTTTATACTTACTTTAAATATTTGATCCTTATGACAAGACCTTTCTTTGGGTACCACCAAATTTGACCTTTTGACCTTAACCTTGGAGTTTGACCCACTTTTACTTGAAAATTTTAAAATTTTACTTTGGCCATATCTTTTGAAAAGTAGATACCAGGACATTTATACTTCACATATGTAATGTTTATTAAAAGACCTTTTACTGGATAACAACAACTTTTACCCTTTGACCTTGACCTTGTAGATTTCCTTACTTGTAAAAAAAACTTTAACCTTGACCATAACTTTTGAACGGTAAGGGATAAGGCTTTCATTCTTCATACATGTAATCCTTATGAAAAGATCTTTCATTGGATACCAAGAACTTTGACCCTTTGACCTTGACCTTTGAGATTGACCTACTTTAAAAAAGCAAATCTTGACCATAACTTTTAAAGAGTTAGGGCTCGTGCTTTCATACTTAACATATTTGATCATTATGACAAGACCTTTCATTTGATAACAATAACATTGACTTTTTGACCTTGACCTTGGAGTCTGACCTACTTTTTAAGAAATTGAACGTTGACCATACCCTCTGAACGGTTATATTAGGGCTAGGGCTTTCATGCTCTACAAAAGTATTTTATGTGGCAAGACCTTTCATTTGATACTAATTACATTGACCTTTTGACCTTGGAGATTTTTGTATTTAAAAAACTTGAACATTAGCTTACTTTCAAATTTCACAATTGTTTTCCAATGAGAATACCCTACTTTTGGTACTAATAGCGAATATCGGAACTCCAAACTTGTGGAACTCTTTTAAAAAAGAAGTCACGAAAATGACGCGTAACTTGGGCAACTTTTGTAAACAAATCGGTAGCTAATCTAATGGCAGAGAACGAATCATTTCTTGTGCAAAAATCTTTGCCCGATTTAAAGAAATTTTTGACAGATCGTGGTATAAGGGTATCGGGCTACAGGAAACATGAGTTATTAGACTTAGCTCGCGAAGCATGTAGACAAAATTTGCAGCCAAAATGCGATTTAGCACAAGAATCTGCAGATCGACTGAAACGTAGGACTGTCCATGGCGTAACATATCCACATCCCAATTCCCAAAATATTAAATGGGATGATTGTTTAGATAAAATACCGTCCATTGAGGCTTATGATATTCAGTATTATTTAAAAACCAGTTGCCTGTGGACAAATGAAAGACTGAAAAATTACAAATCCGACAACAGCTACCGCTTGCATTCAAATGGTCACATTAGTAACGTGGCCATGTCCAAACTCGACTCTAATCTCTGCTATATCAGAGGTTCATCCACTCCAGAGGAACGACAGACAGCCGAGCCCTACAAAATGTGGTTGTTGGTACAAGAGAATGGAACAATTGTCTCTGGAGAGTGCACATGTGTTGCGTATGTACTTGATTTTCTATCCAATGTTTTTAAAAGAAAAAAAATATCAGATTGAGGAAATAACTAACTGTTCTCTAGAAGAAAAGCTGTAATGATTTTTTAAATAAGTATAATTATTTTTTAAAGCATTTAACAATTTGCAAAATTAAAATTCTGCATGTATAAATGGTAATTTTTTTAAACGATAGCAAAGTTATCAAAGCATGAATAAAGATGGCAAATTTTGACTTCATATAAATATAAATAGCAGTACTATAAATTTTTTGTAGTGGTGATGGTACATGTAAGCATATTGCTGCTTTGCTGTTTGGACTTCAACAATTTTGCCTAGGACTGAATGATCGAACAGAGATTGGTGTCACTGATAAAAAGGCTAAGTGGACAAAACCTGTGAGGTCAACAAGACCAGTAAAAATTACTGACCTTGATCTAAGACAGCAACCAAACAACCAACCTCAGCCCATGGCATGTGATGAAGAATACACACCTGTTACTAATGAACAACTAAACAATCGAACTGAAAAAGAGATATACAAACTTTTAAAAGCAGAAAAATTGGCTGCATGTGCAGCATATACCCTATCTGATAGTTCTGATTCTGAGTATGAATTTGAAGAAGGTGTGTGTGAGAATGTGACTGAATTTGCTCAAAATTTTTATATGATAAATCCAAATGCTTCCTTTGAGGAATTTGTTGATGGTCTTAGAGTTTATTTTGACAGAAATCTTGCAGTCAAAATTTCAAAAAGTACAGTTGCTCAAAACTCATCAGATGTATGGCATCATCAAAGAGCAGGTCGCATTACTGCATCATCTGTGTTTAACTGTCTGCATTTCAGTGGTCGGAATGAAAATGGTAGCCTTGTTACACAAATTCTTTGTAAAAAATATGCTACTTCAGAATCTAATTGTATTCCTGCACTTGTACATGGTAGAAAATATGAAGCAAAAGCTAGAGATATGTATTTAGAGTTAAATGGGAAAATTCACACTAATCTTAGATATTCCAGTGCAGGCCTGATAATCGATGATGAGCTTCCTTTCATTGGTGCCTCACCAGATGGTTTACTAGAGTGTGATTGTTGTTTACCAGGGTGCCTCGAAATTAAATGTCCATACAAGTGTAAAGATAAAAATCCAAAGGAGGCAGCAGCATGTGATTTAAAAAATTTTGAACTAAGAAATGGATTTCCTGTTTTAAAGAAAAACAGTAACTCACCATATTATTGTCAAATGATGTGTCAAATGGCTGTTACAAAACGTACCTATTGTGATTTTATTTTGTACACACACTCAGGCATTTTTTCTGAAAGAGTGTTCTTCAATGGACAAATATGGGGATGTATGAAAGAAAAAATTGTCAAGTTTTATAAGACATTTATATTTCCAAAAATCATCATCAATTGAATTTATTATTATGCAATTTTATATTTAAAAAATTAAAGAAGTTTTTCAAAACATATCCAAATCAGTCATTTTTTTTCCTACATGCTTAGAATATTGCAGACTTAGTGCAGCATTACGGAACAATGATAAAAAAGATTTGTCCTTCATATAAACTTTTAATCAGTAAATCTGTAATAATAGATTTGTCAATATAACAGTACATAACACTAACATAAAACTTCCTTCATTCAAAACAGTGAACTATATAAATATCAAATAAATAATGTGAAAGAATGAACTTTTGCAACAAAATTTAAGTTGTTGCACTTGTAATGTTATAGCACTTGCAAACAATAATCATGGTATTTTGTTTACTTAGTTAGAAAATCTATTTTTTCTGAACTTTGCTGACAAGGGGAGCCATAAAATTACAAAAAATACCCGCTACTTGTAAGGCTTGATTTGCAACAGACAATGATTTTATGTACATAATACCATCAAAGAATTTGTAACTTTCCAGTCTCTGAATTGCACGCTCCACATGAATGCGCAATGAGGCAATGTTTTTTGACTCCTTAATTTGTTTAGATGTCAAGTATTTGCCTTTTCCATACTGACATGGCCGACAAAATGGTGGCATATTCAGCTGGGCTCCCCTTTGAAGAAGTTTGGATTCGACTTCCTTTCTTTGTCTTTCACTTTCATTTAACTGATTTTTCAGGAGTGTGTTTTCCTCTTTAAAAGCCACTATCCTCTCCTCGAGTTGTTCACAATGAACCTACAAAGTTAAGCACACTTTAAAATTTTTTTAAACAAACATTAAAAATATAAGAGAATACATATTTGCTCTAACATCCCTTACATGTATTTATGTGACATAACATATGAAATAATGAAAAAAAAAAACAATTGCTCTGCTGTAAAAATACCTTCAGATGCCTATTTTCATGTTCCAAATTTGTTATTTGGGTATAAGCATCTGCCCAGTCTGTGTCACTAAGATGAGATGAACCTGACACAGGACTCACTACATATGGGTGGTCATGTTGCATGATACCAGGTAGGGAATATGGTGTATCAGTTGTAATTGGAACTGTGAAAGAAAAATACAAATAAAAAAGCATATTTTAATGCATATGAAAATATACTGGTTATGATCTTTTTGGGTATATTTGTTATTATTGATTATGCAAGTTTCTTTAATCCAGACATTTCTGATAAAAGAATAAAAAATCACAGATAAATGACAAACTTTTTAAACAAAATCAAAGAAGTGTTATGTTTTTAGTTATTTTTAAGAAAACTATGTCTTCCAACCCTTTCCTCCTTCCTTGGCAGGAATAATGATTTCATGCTGTATGCCTTGATATAGCTCTGCCACTGGTACTGGCTGGACAAATACACTAGTCTGTGAAGTCCTTTGTTTTTTCCCTTCAGAGTGACTTTCATTTCTGCATGTAAAATGGTTGATTAACAGTTTTAGAGGCACAGTTGTTATTATAACATAATTCATACAATATAAAAAAGATATTTTTGTGTGTGTCTTTCTAAATGAAATTTAGATATTGATAATTCATGTAAATTATATTGAATATATTCTTTAGGCAAAAAATTTATATGTACTCTTGTTTCCTGTCACCGAGCTACCATAACTTTTTACCCTGCAACCAAAATTTTTTTTTTACATATTCATTTTGGGGGGGGGGGGGAGGGGGGCTATTTTCCTGAAATACTGAAGTCAACCAACAATATTAACAGAGCTAATACATCTTAAGTGCAAAGGATACCTTTATTTTATAAATCTTTATTAATAAACTTGCTCTGTAAAGTGTAAACATACTGTTTTCTTGTTATTAGATAATACAAATTCTCCATCCATTGAGCTTTGAAAATAATTTTTCCCTACCTAGCTATCCTATTTTTTTAATTTAACCCTATTTCTTTTTGATCAGGGAACAGGAAACAAGAATATATTTTCTTTTGGCCTTAAAAGCTGATAATAGAAATATGGGTATCACATTTTTATGTAAAATTATCATTGATCGAGAAGCCAAAATACAAACCCCTGGGAAGATGAGGTACTGTTGTATTTTGAAGTCAATGTTTTCCTCTTTCCTTGACCCTGGACCTGGTCATGCATGTAGTTATTATATTCAAATAAAGTTGGTATTGGGTTTGTGTCAGTGGGTCTTACATCTACAAAATGCCTGGAGCATACAGCGTGCCAATGATCTGTGTTACTAGGTTTGAAATTTTTACGACGTACCGCATTTATCCACTGGCGCCGAAGTTTTGGATTTTTAGTTGCGGAAGGCAATACATAAAAATTGACAACATTTCCATTTTGATCTACCATATGCGGGTATTTACTGAGTCTGCTAGATTTCCTGGAGTCATTGTTACATCCCACGGCAATACAATGGTAATTTACCATGGTTATTTGCAGGTAAGACGCGGTTATTTGACATCATAAGACATGACAAGTTCAGCAGCGCGTCCTTGTTTACAAAATGTTGCCCAAGTTCACGCCAAAAACGAGATCTCGTTAGACACACTAAATATTAAAACCGCGACGGAATAAAAGACGAAATAATGGTTCCGATGTTGGCTATTAATTAAATTTGCATTTAAGACAGACAGACAGATACACAAGTTTACCCTTTCTCCTTTGGAGTGGGTGTATAAAAATTTTTCACTATATAATCTATAGAGCCCAACCCTAACACCAGATCCCCTGACCCTGGGGCCATAAAATTCACAATTTTGGTAGAGGCACTCATTCTCATTATAACTATGCACTTAGTTGGTTTATTTAATACCCAGGAGCAGAGTAGAAGATTTTCAAAGAAATAATGCATTTTCACTATATACTTATTTAGCCCCGCCCTAGCACTAGACCCCTTGACCCCTGGGCCATGAATTTCATATGCACTAATTTTAGTGGTTTTGGTCCCACCCCTCAGGCCCCAGGGGGGCAGGGCTCATGAAATTTTTGTTCCGCTGCACCCATAGATGCTGTGTGCCAAATTTGGTTGAAATTGGTTCTGTGGTTGCAGAGAAGCTGAAAATGTTCAAATGCACAACGCACGACGCACAACGCACGACGACGGACGAAAACAGATGGCAATAGGTCACCTGAGTTTACTCAGGTGACCTAAAAAAAGCAGGAAAAAGAGTAGATTCGTGTCTTTTATTGCAACAAATCCTTCCAACAAAATTTCAACTGACACTTTAAAGGTACTTGGACACAGATTTGAAGTTAATATTTTCTCATTTTTCTCTGTATAATATCACGAATTATATATTTTAATAGCATTTCACACAAAAATTGATTAAAAATCTTTTTTCATTTAAAAGTTATTAAAACTGTTATTTTTTGGCGGGTTTGATTGACACATCCTTGCACTTTCACAAATTTTAACTTTATTCTTAATCCTTAAGAAAAGTGGCACTTTTGATGTGTTTTAATGAGAAATATTAAAAGTTTTATCAAGAAAAATAACTTTATTCAGAATAGAGATGTTAGAAAGCAAAACACCTTCACAAGTATCGTAATTCTGTACTAAGAGATGCGTACAAAGTTTAACAAATCGAGCACACTCGTGTTATGTACACAGTCTTTGTAAACAGGGCTCAAGTACTGTTATTGTTTATATTTAGAATTCATTTGGTGCGTTCAATCGTCACAGTCTGCTTACCACAACTGCACGGACTGACAATATATTGTGTGTTTGTTTTGCTTTCGAACGTGTCTACTCTGAATTTTCTGGATTATAGTATTAACATTTTTCATTTATACAAAACGAGATTGCCACTTTTCCTTAGGATTAAGAATATAATTAAAGAACAAAAGTCAGAAAGTGCAATATACGGCCAGTGAATCTCTTAAAAAATAAATCATCGTTTTCTTGAAAACTATTTGTGGTTTCCGTATGTACTCGACTTCGTCAATGCAGGGGTGGGTAGTTTAAGCCAAACCGGATGTTGGCTTTTTAATCGTAACTGCTAAACCCTATAATAATTTTGACTTTTCCGGAATTTTTCACCAATTTTACAGATTCATTTTAAAATTCCAAGTGGGGCGCATTCCGCTCGGAAAAAAATTCAAGTATAAAATCAATTATTGGTATCTTACGCGTATATTTGAACAAGTTTTTTTTCTCCGAGAGGAATGCGCCCCATGTTTAAAATTAATATTTATGAATGTCGTTTGGTCTGCTGGCGCATGCAGAAGCAAATTTACATTCAGTAATTTCATGTTATTAAAACCTTACATTGCAAGAATTAAATCTGACATAAGAAATTATATAAACGACCATAAACCCATTTTAGCATAAATACATTATTTATGCATGGTAAATAGCGTAGGCTTAACAGATTTTATATACCTCAGTTCTTATTTCAAATAAAAACATTTAGAAAATAGAAATGTATTCATGTTAGTCTATGCTTTCCATATCTGCATGTCTGTTCTCAGTGGCGGATTTAAGGGGGGCGCACCCGGCGCGCGCCCCCCTAAAATTGTCAAAGTTACCGTAAATCAAATATGTCTACTTGGTAGACCTCATTTTCACCCTTCAAAATCTCTAGAATCCAGGAGCTTCCGGGGGCTTCGCCCCCTGGGCCTCCATCAGGGCATTGGTAGACCTCATTTTAACCCTTCAAAATCTCTAGAATCCATGAGCTTCCGGGGGCTTTGCCCCCTGGGTCCCCACCAGGGCTTTGCCCTGGACCCACTGGGAGCCTCAAGGCGGCCCCCAGACCCCTTGCCTATTTTGGCGCCGCCCCCCCTAACTTCAAATCCTGGATCCGCGCCTGGTTCTGTACCATTGTTTAACAGAAGCCCTCCAAAGTAGCCAGGTTATAACCAGATTAGGTGTATTTGTTTTCGTTTTCATGTCCCCGTAAACGAAGTTTCGGGGGCATATAGTTTTTGTCATGTCCGTCTGTCTGTCTGTCTGCCTCTCTGTCTGTTTGTCCGCAAACACTTTAACCTTGCCCATAACTTTTGATTTAGTAGAGTTATGACTTTCATATTTCATATGTGTATTCCTTGTGACAAGACCTGTCTTTGGGTACCACCAAATTTGATCTTTTGACCTTGACCTTGGAGTTTGAACCACTTTTACATGAAAATGTTAAAATTTTACTTTGGCCATATCTTTTGAACTGTAGATAACAGGACATTTATACTTCATGCATGTTATGTTTGTTAAAAGACCTTTCACCGGATAACAACAACCTTGACCTTTTGACCTTGACGATTTCCGTACTTGTGAAAAAACTTTAACCTTGGCCGTAACATTTGTATGGTAAAGGATGGGGCTTTCATACTTCATGCATGTAATCCTTGTGAGAAGACCTTTCATTGGATACCAAGAAATTTGACCCTTTGACCTTGACCTTTGAGATTGACCTACTTTTAAAAAAGCAAACCTTGACCATTACTTTTAAAGAGTTAGGGCCAGTGCTTTTATACTTTACATATTTGATCCTTATGACAATACCTTTAGTTTGGGTACCACCAAATTTGACTTTTTGACCTTAACCTTGGAGTTTGACCCACTTTTACTTGAAAATTTTAAAATTTTACTTTGGCCATATCTTTTGAAAGGCAGATACCAGGACATTTATACTTCACAAATGTAATGTTTGTGAAAAGACCTTTCACTTGATAACAACAACTTTGACCCTTTGACCTTGACCTTGTAGATTTCCTTACTTGTAAAAAAAAAACTTTAACCTTGACCATAACTTTTGAACGGTAAGGGATAAGGCTTTCATTCTTCATACATGTAATCCTTATGAAAAGATCTTTCATTGGATACCAAGAACTTTGACCCTTTGACCTTGACCTTTGAGATTGACCTACTTTAAAAAAGCAAATCTTGACCATAACTTTTAAAGAGTTAGGGCTAGTTCTTTCATACTTAACATATTTGATCATTATGACAAGACCTTTCATTTGATAACAATAACATTGACTTTTTGACCTTGACCTTGGAGTCTGACCTACTTTTTAAGAAATTGAACGTTGGCCATACCTTCTGAACGGTTAGGGCTAGGGCTTTCATGCTCTACAAAAGTATTTTATGTGGCAAGACCTTTCATTTGATACTAATTACATTGACCTTTTGACCTTGACCTTGGAGATTTTTGTATTTTAAAAACTTGAACATTAGCTTACTTTCAAATTTCACAATTGTTTTCCAATGAGAATACCCTACTTTTGGTACTAATAAATTAAATTTGCATTTAAGAAAAGCTTAATCTTTTCTATGTTGCCATACGGGGGCATCAGTGTTTTACAAACACATCTTGTTTCTTGTTTGTTTCAACATTTGACAAGTCGTCAATTTTTTTTTCTCTTGACGTCACAATGTGCAGAAAATGAGGCCAAACTTTTTAGGGAACTTCAATATTTTTCGTACTCGTGATGATTGAGATCAATAACTCTTGATATTATAAAAAAATGTTAAAAATCTAAATAAATAACATTATTACTATTAAAGTTCGTACACATTTAACCTGAGGTGCAAAGTATTGGTAGACAAGGAGTTTCCTTTCGATAGGTATGGGAGATTTTAAAAGGGGGCATATTTTCAAACTCAGACATCTACAGTTTTAATTTGACCAGTGAATTTATTTTGTACATATATTACAGTTTATATCATGATGTGAAAACTACATAACAAAACTGAAAACTTAATATCTTTTTACTCGATATCTGCTTAGAAAAGAAGGAAATTTCCTTACTGAATAATCAAAATTCGACCAAAATGTTGAATTTCCTATTAACAAATATAAATAAATGCGTTATCATTTTTGTTTCCTGCAAATATTATGGGATCCTGTTGTTTTTGATCAAATTTTCTGATACGGACTTGATATATAAAACTCTTGTGCTTTGCCTTAAAAAATGTCAAGCTAAGGCCAATAGTTTTGTCCTTAAATACAAAGCAAAACTGTAAATATATTGGATAGGTATATAAAAGTGCGAATTTCTAGGATTGTTTTTTTTTTCATTTCCAACAAAATAAATTAATAGGTACGATTTATTATCAAATCCCCGCCCCTTTATTCAATCAATTTTTTTATTCTCGAGAAAATGATGTGTAGGCTACAGCCTTTTTGCCTACATGGAATGTACGCCACTGATTGGGGATGTCTATTAGTGACAAACAAAACAAGCATCCTGTTAAAAAAAACCCAACATAATATGTAATAGGTATACTGTAATATTTAGCCAGCCTTTACATAAATAATGAATTTATCATTTTATTATCAAAATAATCTCAAAAAGGAGGAATTGTTTCTATTCTATGTTTAATGTATAAATAATAATGAAATTTGTTATAAAAGAGTGGTAAAAAACTAGTTTCCGACATCGCTCACCATAGGATGTATTTACTTTGACAAAAAATGACTTATACGAGAGAACAATTTCCCGAAAAAAGTGACATTTAGATTTGATAATTTTGTCCTAGAAGTCTTTCAGGGCAGACCTGTCCCTAAATAAAATTGTGATATTTCGATAGATCGGGATGTAATAAATAATTCATGAATAATTCAAGTTTAAAAAAAAATCAGGGCACCCTGCCCTAGGGTTAAATTCACGAACACACACACCCTCTTCCATACATAATAAGGAAACCTGATTTTAATAATGTGTTTTAGTATAGAAAATCTTGCTTTAAACATTCGAAAAGGGGGGAGGGGATGCACACACCCGAGGCACCGGCCCTGGATCTGCCTCTGATTACGCGGCGTTCTTGCATTAGAAGTTTGCTAATGCTGCTCTCGGAAGTATTAGTTCAACGAAGTATAGGTATTGCTCGAAAATGCACATTGGTATGTAAAAAATCAAGTCCATATGATAAAATCTTGAATTTTTACAACCATTTTTACTATGGGGTCATGGGATTCACTGAGCAATCACTTGACGTAAGCGACGTGACAACTAGATTTCAACGCGTTAAGGTTTGTCGCAATTCTATATCTTTAATTTCTTCAGATTTGTTTTATCTGTTTTCTACTTTTAAATTGAATATCTATATCAAGACATATTACCTTTCTACTAAAATATATTTGTATTGATTCGGATAATTGAAATCTTATAAAATAAAAAAAAAGTCTATGCAGTTAACATAGTTAATCATGTATGGAAACTATGCAAAACCATATAGGCGCAACGCAACGTCCATGCGATAAGGGGGGTATTGAAGTATCGATGAAGTTATGTCTTTGCGCTACAATTGTTCAATTTTTAATTTTAATAAAGAGTCTTTGTAAACTGGACAATATGTGGCATGCTCCGTGAAGCAAGTTTTATCAAAATATAAAAAGCTGTATATTTTTCAATAATCACCGGAGAGCACCAAATTCTTGTATATCAATTGGAAAAAAGGTTAAGATTTTATCTGGAAAGTTTGACCGGTTTCGTGGAAATAGCGCGCTTACAATAGAACTTATCCGCAAACTTTTCTAATACCCCTCGTGCATGTATATATGAGGAAATTAGGAAATGAGGAAACATTAAACGCAGCACTTGTTCTCTACGTTATATGTGGTACCTATTTCTATTTTAACATTTATTATTTTAAAACATTATCAATGTCCATAATGAAACGTTACAATGTATCTAATTATTTACGTGTGCCGCGATAAACACACAGGCGCTAAACGGACACGCTGTCATTTTCACTTGTTAGTGTACCTAAGCTTGTTTATACCTGACGTTATAATTTCAAATTAAGTTATCTTTCATTAACAAAATATTAAAGTACTATTTGAATATATTGTAAAATACTTTTTTGTCAAATTCACATTAATTAATAAATACGAGGGCCGTTCAAAAATTACGCGGACTGTGCTATTATCAACTCTTACAGACGTCATAGAGTTATGAAATTTCACAGAAATATGTATCTCAAAGATTCCAATAAATTTTGGGCAAAATTTCTGTAGTTTAAAAAAATTATACTAAAATTATCGGTATATTGATATCGCTGATTTAGAGGTACGGAGCACGACAAAAAATTTGAAGCAAAAGCATGCGAAATCCAAAATTTAACTCATTTATTTTCTATAATTCGCAATATTTTTCGACAATTTTCTCAAATGTATCTTTAAATTGTTCTATTATTATGTATTTGGATTTCTGGCGTGATATTTGAAGTACTAATAGAAATGTAGTGATTTTCCTCTGATGCGATCCCCGTAAAAACGACTGTGAAAATGACGTCTCGTGAATTGACGGCGCACCACACTTTAGTTAAATTATGTGTAATGCTCGAGATATCGCCAAAATAGATCCAAAATATGCAAAATAAAACATGTAGTAAACTAGGGTATTCGTGACATTCGTCCACAAATAGTAAATAGGAATTTTAGACCATTAGACCTCTGTAAAATGGCTATACTGGAGGACGGGAAGAGGATTATCGACGAAAACTTTATCTGGAATGTAAAGAACGTGATTGAGAGTCATCAATATCACACTATATCTCATAAATACCTGCAGTTTTTGGTTTTAAAACAAAAAAAGAATATTCTTTACTTGTTTAATAGATTTAAACTTGACGCGAAATGGTGTTTTGATGTTGAGTAGATAAGATGACTCAAACTGTACAGATACTCTTGGGAAAATGTTGAGAAAATGAAAGCTCAATCACATATTTTTTTATAATGCCTGTGACGTCAAAGATTTTGCTGCTCCGTGACTTAATGATATGTCCTGAAAAATCACTCAAAATTGATACCGATTTACAACATTTTGATATAAAATTTTGTATACCATATAAGTAAAGATTCTTTTATATTATGTGCAACATTTTGCCCGATTATGTCGTCAAATATTTTTTCTGTGCAGCAAGTCCGCGTAATTTTTGAACGGCCCTCGTATTTAACACTTTATTTATGAGAACTCAGAAGTTTTAGAATTCACAACGTCATTATGACGTTCCGTAAAATGTACGAAATTCAGCCATATACATATGCTATTTTGAAGACCTCTTACAGAAAATATGAAAGAGATATTGAAAAAATAAAGTTGTTCTGAAAATATATAGTCAGTAGATATATCCAGGGGCAAAACTGTCCTATTTTGAAATCGGGCCAATTTGTGTAATTTTTGACTTTTCCTCTTTGTGAGAGTTCAAGGATATGTCAATCAAACCCGCCGAAAAATTTAAAATTTCAATATCTTTTAAACGAAATATGATTTTTAAATAATTTTTGTGTGAAATGCTATTAAAATATATAAGTCGTAATATTATAAAGAAAATAATAACTTCAAATCTGTGTCCAAGTACCTTTAATTCTACTGAACATTTCATTATTACTGTGCTACCTATTCATACTTTGAACATTAACTTTATTCCCTGAACACTTCTATTTCACTTAACATAAATCACAACACTTCATATCCAATATGTTCATACAAAGCTCGTATCCGATGCAGACTCATCTGTGACTCTACATAAATCATAACACTTGTCCAATATGTTCGTATAAATCATAACACTTGTCCAATATGTTCATATAAATCATAACACTTGTCCAGTATGTTCGTATAAATCATAACACTTGTCCAATATGTTCATATAAATCATAACACTTGTCCAATATGTTCATATAAATCATAACACTTGTCCAGTATGTTCATATAAATCATAACACTAGTCCAATATGTTCGTATAAATCATATCACTTGTCCAATATGTTCGTATAAATCATAACACTTGTCCAATATGTACATATATATACATTTGTGGTATCTTTCCATTATATAAACATACAGAGAGAAAATATCTTCAATTCTGTATGAAGTTTGTCAGAGGTCAGAGGTCAATACGTGACCTAATCACACAGTGCAATAATATCTACCAGTAATAGATTATAAACTGACCTGCTGTACCTGCTTTTCATGTATAAAAATGATCAAAATAAGGAAATAAAATGATAATTATTTTATTTAAAATGTAAACAAGTATTTCATACAGTTTTGTGGCTATCGATTCAACCTGTGTTACAGTATAGGCCCTTGGTCCTACATAGAGAAAACTAACGTTTGTTTACATTTTTTTTTTCACTTTTGTCAGCTGCACAGTCTCTAACGTTCATCCTTATTTTTCGGGTAGACCTTTGGTTAAATTTTCATGATAAACTATTATTTCATCTTTAAATTCTACTCACGATGAATGTGTAAATCTATTGGAAAATATTGCAATCGTGCCATGAACAGCTGCCAAACACCTCGGCGTTCTCATAGTTCAATGTAAAGCTGTTGCCACGCAGTATCTCTGTGTTTAACAGTGTTTGACGAAAAGTATGCTTTTAGTTACTGAAATCGTAGAGTGTTTTTGATCAAATTGCAAATTAACCGGCTCGGCCAAGTGTCTCAATCCATCGGATCCATCCCTCCTTTTCCAGCGACCGAAATTCCTCCAACTTTTATCATCAAACTTCGGACGTGTTTCTTGTGCCATTTCAGCATAGATTATCAATTTTCACATTTGAAATCAGGGTTCTCCACATTTGAAATTTAACCATGGAGGAAGCTGCGTGAAGACAAAATGTGACCGAAAACACGAATGCGTGTTACGGTGTTAGACTTCCTAATCTTCATTAATCAATGACTGGTTTTACAATTTGTAAACTTTACCATTGCAACACAAAACAATGGAATAACTAACTCTGTTTAAAGTAAAGAAAAAATTTGAATTAAAATTGAAAAGGATTTATCCTGTATTTTACCTCACAAATGTATCAGAATTTGCCAAAAATAGTAGTAATCTTCCGAAGGAATAAAAAAAAATACCAGGGCAATATTATTCAGAAATTAATAATTATAAGAATTGTTGAAGCCTGTTGTATGAAATATGAGATATGACTAAAACTGATGAAACTGATGAATGGGTAGTATTTTTTATGTAAACACACAAAGGAACAATTGGATAAGTGTCCTTTTTTCTAAGCATTCTATTTTTCTAGATAATCCGTTTTTCGCCAAGTTTTGTTTACTTCTCCACGTGCCCAGCGCTAAAAATAGCGCCACGCGACGTCTCATAACAAGGGGAAGTAACTCTAAAAGTAAGACGGCGATTGACACTTAGGTCCTATGCACATTTTATCAAAAACTATAATAAAGTTAAAGCTTAAAAAACATAACATGGGAAACTGATTAAATACAGAGGAATATGATTTTTTTACAGAGTATTTTTGGGCTAATATCATCAAGATTGCCGACATTAAAAAAACTAACTATTTTAAGTTATGACTGCCCTGGCTCGGATGCTATGTCTTTGAATTCTTGTAAATCTTTTAATTATTATGTAGTGAAGTGAAAACAGTTAGAATTCAACAAAATTGACCTCGGATTTTTTCCCGTTATTTCCTGATTATGACAACGAGCGCACGGCGGGTGTGACCGGTCGGCAGGGGATGCTCACTCCTCCATGGCACCTGATCCCTCCTCTGATGTTTCGGAGGTCCGTGTTTGCTCTGCTCTTATTTTGTATATTTGTTTAATGGACGTTGAGATTGAATACTGTTCGTTATTTCCATATCCTTCATGTAATACAAAAAATACAGAGCCCCGTTAACAGTAGTTTATATAGTAGATAACTACCCAATACTGTTAAAACAGCTGGCCAACCGACCTTCAATTCATGAATTCTCACGCTTCATGGCACATTCGCAGCTGACCGACCGTGGGTAATTAGCACTATTACCTGTTCCCGTGCGCTTGGGGGGGCTTCACACCACGTTGTGTAAACACAATTAACTACTCAGATAGTATATTGCAGGTGTCATGTCTGAAAATGCAAGTTTTAAATTCTAAAATTTAACCATGGCGGGCGAGGGTTTTAACTATGGTGCAGCAGATTTAACCATGGCGCACACAAATTTAACCATGGCGCACCTCCATGGTAAAACCCCTTGTGGAGAACCCTGTGAAATTATTCCCAGACAACAATCTGTTCACTTTTTCTGATCACAAGAAGTCTTTCACAAAACATTCCCTTCGAAATAGATCCTTTAACCTAGTGAATTCGAAGCGTAACCGCCATACAAGCCGATTTACACCTTGCGTCATTTTTCAAAATCTACGACGGACGGTTAGTGCAATAAATTGAATTCGAAAATATTCAATTGTCTGTCTCAAATGCATATATAAGTAATAAATAACAAGTTTTTAAACTTCAATGGGAATTGAAATGGGTCGGTACGTGATCAAATCTTCTGAGAAGGCCTTCGGCCTTCACAGGATTTGATCACGTGACCGACCCACTTCAATTCCCATTGAAGTTCATAAACTTGTTATTTATTTCTTAAATAAATCATAACACTTGTCCAATGTGTTCATATAAATCATAACACTTGTCCAATATGCTCATATCCAGCCTGTATCAAATACTGAAATCCAGCATTATCTTTAAGTTCTCCAAGTTCATCACAATGTAACACTGTCCTCAGTTCTGGCATAAATGTCTTCACGTCCATTCCTGAATAAAGAAAGTAATGCCTTTAATATATCAGAATATAAAAAAAGATTGTATCTTATATTCAACAGGTAAAGAAAATGTTTGCAAAAATATTGTTTCTTCACCAAAAATTCAAAAACAAAAACATTACAATTCCAATGATGCATACACAAAAAACCCTTGCAAAAAAGCTATTAAAATTACATGTATTAACAAACCTTATAACAAGATCAACACATCTTCACAATAACCTACCTTCTTTGTAAGCCAGGTCCACTGTTTTGAAGAGCACAGTATTCATGATGGTGTCCATAACATCCACTGAATCATCTTGCCAGCTGTTAATGTAAAACACAACTTTTGTTCTTTAATTGTATTTTGTTCAATAATAAAAAATAATTAATGCAAAGAAAATTGGTCATTTATAGTCAATCTTATTATCTTGATAATGAAAACCAAAGGAGACTAGAAATTCCACTCAATGTCTCCGGAAACTAAACAAGCAAAGTGGAGCAAAGAAACTTAACAACTTCAAAAAATACATGTATCTTTTCTATAGATCTTCCTGAGACTTTTTTTCTCTTCTTTTGTTCATTCTTTTATTATTACTATTTGTTTTGTACCTTGATCTAAATGTAGGGAGAGGGCTATAACAGGCTGCGCCTGCTGCCCAATCCCATTCACGTTGACATCAGTGAATAAAATATTGTTAAAAAAAATACCTGAGACCTTACCTGTCTCAGAAACAACTGGGCCCAAATGTGCATCCTTAAGATTTCATAGTTTATTGATGGGTCAGTCTGAAAGATTTTATTTAAATAATACAGACTAAAGTAGTGTACTTATCGTTTTACATTTGGATATCTTTGTTCTTACCAACCATGTAGTTTCAGATGTATACTAATTTATACTTATTGAAAAAAAGTGCTAGCTGTTCTTTAAATCTTCCTGAAAATCTTCCTGAAATGCTTCAAAGAAAAAATCCTCTCAGACATCTGATACAAAGACACTGTCTACCTTGTCATGCTTGTCTTTGTATAAATAATCATCTTCTTTGTTTTTTATATACTCATTATTATACCTTTATCTTATGCGATATATTTTTCTCCAAGTTTAAAAAGCACTTTTTACAAGTGTTTAGAGCTTCCTTAAAGTAACCTTGGCATAGTTTACACAAGGCAGGCTATAATTCCTACTATATATAGACCAGGAAGTTAAATAACTAGGTCACGCGACCAGAACACATAACAATACCCACTTTATTGGCAGCCATTGCTCACTTACACGTCAGGTAATGTTTATATTTTCTTTTAACGTTTTGATTTTTTGGTTAAAAGTTACCTAGTGAACAATAAATGCATGGAGAAAACATTTGATATCTAACTACTCGTATATATTTTTTATGAAAAAGAACCCTTCCAAGGATTTTTAAAGTGAATAAATAAAGAATGATTCATCTTGCTCAGAGATTAATGAAGTTTTTTCATGAGTCCAAATCAGCTCCCTCAGCCCATAATTTATAATTAAGTACAGGGAGAAGTGTTAATCAAAATAATAATGATGCAAACAGTTTGCTTTATAATAGTTCTCGAGACAAGAAAGTTTTAAAGATGCAATCAATGTATTTGCAATACATGTATGAGACCAAAACGGTTAACCCCATCCTAAGGCATGAACCCATGAACTTATGTATTTTCCAGTTGATCAACAATTCAAAATAAGAATAAAATAACAATAAAACTCTGTAACAAATAATTTTTCAAACAAATACCCCTCAACACAATAAAAAGTATGTATGTTATTTTTATCCAACTTAGCTTTTTTTCAGAGTCAAGAGTTAAACCATGGACCCCCGTACCAGTGCCCAGGACGTGTTGCGATGTGACCTGTGTAAGACCGCTGTGGTACAGATGCACTGTGATACGTGTCTTGTCAACCTGTGTACAGCTTGTGTAGGGAAACATATGATGTCTGATGAATCCAAGGACCACAAGGTCGTCAAATTTCAGTCAAGGAAATCCACCCCCCTCTACCCTGGATGTAAATCTCATTCCCCAGACCAATGTAAAATGTACTGTAATAAATGTGGCATTCCTGTTTGTACAAAGTGTCTAGTATCTGATCAACACCTGGGTCATAAGTTATCAGAAATCGTACAAATCGTGGAGGAGAAAAAAGACAAAATCACCAAAGAACTAACTGAATTAAATGAAACAATTTACCCCACCTACCATGACATTGCCTTTGATGTACAAAATAGAATGAGTCAGTTAGAAAAGGAATTTGGAGAACTCTCAACAGCCATAACAAAACATGGAAAGGACTGGCACAGAGAAATTGACAAACTTGTCAAGGAACTTAAAGCAGAAATTGATGAGATGAAAAACACACAGTTACAAACTCTACAGAAACATCTGGACGAAATAAACAAGACAATGTCGGACATCAAGGAAGAAATCAAATCAGTTGAAATGGCAATAGAAACACATGACTTGTCAAAACTGTTTAGAGTCGCTTCCAATGTAAATAGATACAAAAACCTACCACAAAAACTAGCATCTACTTTATCAAAATTCATTCCAGAAAAAATTCAAGGAGAGAAACTCAGTAAAATGTTTGGAACTTTATCATTTAGTTCTTTGACTTCAGATCAACATGGTTACAGCATGAAGACAACACAGAAATTACCAAAAGCTGGGTCCTCTCCTTCAGTCAAACAGCTGCTCGATGAACCAGAGACTGTCACCACCATAGACACTGAGTATGAATGCCTTTATGAAGTGGCTTGTCTGAATGATAAAGAAATCTGGACAAGAGGAAGTGGCTGCATGATGAAACTCTACAGCATCAATCAGGGATCACTACTCAAGTCAATCACAACCAAGTCAGGGAACATGCCATCTGACATAGCAGTGACAAACAGTGGAGATCTAGTTTATACTGATTACTGGGATAGAACTGTGAACATTGTGAAGAATGAGAAGATAGAGGAGATCAGACTACAGAACTGGTTACCTCGCAGTGTCTGTAGTACCTCTTCTGATGATCTCCTGGTTATCATGTACAGTGATGTGTACAAACAAACAAAAGTTGTCCGTTATTCTGGCTCCACAGAGAAACAATCCATTCAGTTTGATGATAAAGGTAAACCTCTCTTTTCATCTGGTACGTATTACAGATACATTACAGAGAATAGGAACCTGGATATCTGTGTGTCTGACGAGGGAGCTAAAGCAGTTGTGGTTGTCAATCAGGCCGGGAAACTGAGATTCAGGTACACTGGACATACTCCTACTCCAAAGAACAAACCATTCACTCCGGGAGGAATCACCACAGACAGTCAGAGTCACATCCTTACAGCTGATATGAATAATGGCTGTGTCCACATCATAGACCAAGATGAACAGTTCCTCCGTTACATAAACTGTGGACTGTTTCGACCATGGGGACTGTGTACAGATACAAATGACAATCTGTTTGTTGCTCAATGCAGAAACAAACAAGTGATGAAAATTAAATACATCTGTTGATTTGAGGGCTGTGTAAAGATCAAATACCCTATAAAAACACAAAACCTTGTCACTGTGTGGTAGAATACACAGTAGGAGTAGTATGCATTTTCAAAAAGAAACAAGAGGCCTATGGGCCTTATTGGTCACCTGAGCATCATGCAAGATTTTTCCATATGATTGAATGTGATACATGTTTAAACTAGATGCCATGACATTCATAATTTTGAAAGAGGCACCATTGCTAATCATAACTATACACTAAGCATGTTTAGTTTGGTTACTTAATATTTATAGACAGAGTAAGGGGAACAAAAAATTGCATTTCAACTAATCAGTTATCTTGAGCAATAATTAGTTGTGTCCTCACCTTTACAGAAATTACTGACTCTGTGTCAACTCAAAATAACGATTTTGGAAAAGGCACTTTGCTTAACAAAAATGTTTGATTAATATCAAGGAGCAGATTTAAAACAATTAAATTCATTTCAGTATATAAGTAGAGTTGCACCCCCTCTCTGGCACCCCTGACCCAGCAGCCTTGAAATTAACAATTCTAGAAGACTGGCCCTTGCTCATGATAGCTATATAGGTGGCGGTTTATAGAGAATTGACTGTATAATCAATAGAGTCTCACCCTTAAACCATAGCCCCTACCACTGGGGCCATAAATTTCACAGATTGAGAAGAGGCTTTCTTGCTTATCATAAATATGTACTTATTACATGTAGTTAGTTTGTTTTTAGGATCAACAAAAAATTGTCAACAGCGGGAATGTAAAAAGAAGAGAAAAAATTCATTTTATCTATTTTTTTTGTCCAATGTTATACAGAATCGGTTCAGGACATCCGCAAAACAAATTTAAAAAGGGCCTTGTTAAAACACTTTAAGTACTCTCAGTTTTCAGAATAAATTGATAGGTTTTCTCACCTAATCCAAAGTGTACAGTCAAGTCGACGTCCATATTGACACCCGCACCAAGAAATACAACACCCTGTCTGAAAAAAAATAGGAAAATAATCAGAGTTTTTTTATGCTATGGACTTGAAACAAAATTTTTACAGCTTGGCTAGAGCTAAATACTCATGGATTCATGATCACATTTTTGAGCTTGTTTCATAGGAATTATTTTTAGTCCAAGGGGCATAAAATTCTTGGCCGAATTAATCGATATAACCTGGTTTGGGTTAGTTTAGCTTTATAATCCGCAAAGGATTATAAAAAAAGAGTCGAGAATACCATGAAATGGAAATAACCCATTATGCAAATTATTCCAGGTTTCAAGCTATTATTGATGCCCTGGCATACTCTTCTTAATAGACTGTGATTCCTAAAATAACAAGAATAAGACAGGAAAACCCCTGACTTACTGAGTGGGCTGCATGTCTAATAACCAGGTCTTTAGTTGAGTCAGCTGACGTGAGTCCTGGTTCTACATAACAAAAAACAAATGGAATTTAACCTTTTGCATATTAGTTTTTTTTCCTTTTGCAGAAAATGATTGTCTATTGAATTGTTTTTACAGAAATGAAACTGGCTTAATGGAATTGCTGTATGTATATTTTTCTATCTATTTTTAATACTTTAAAGTTGAAACAAGCTTTCCTTTCTTAGCTACATAAAATATGGAGAAAACAAACAGTAATCAAGTACATTACCGACCAGACCCAACCTGACACAAAGCAATCCCACAGCGGTCCCAAAGCAGTCCCACAGCAGTCCTAGAGAGCAGTCCCAGCAGTCCAAGTGGGCGGGGCTTATTAATTTAATGGGCGGAGCTAACTCAGAAATGAAATTTGCAATAAACAATGGAACTATAATAAGCAGCAGAAATTGATTCTGGGTAGTATGCCAGGATTGTTACATGTATGTAAGCCTTTCAACTAATATTTCAAGTTGCACATAAGGTAAAAACATTTCGGAGATTGATTTACAGGTACATGAAATTATCAAAAAAGATATTAACTGATGTCTACCTTTAATTAAATCATTAAAACGTTTCATAATATGTAGTTGACTAGTTCGATGTTGTGTTTTAAGGACAAGTAACTCAGGTGTGAAAAAGGACCAACAAAGTGTCGATTTATGAGTAATCGTTTATAGGAATGACATATAGGCTGCTTCAGCATTGGTATTGTTATGTGCACAAAAGGGTAACCGGCTCCTTATATTGTTTTGTACACAAAAGTGTTGACCAAAAGAAGGAGAATGTCTTCACTCTATACCTGAAATAACAGGATCACATGAATGGAGAACAGACTATATTCAACATTTTTAACTCTCTTTGACGATTGTTATAAAGAAGAAAATATAATGTCATGTTTTTTTGTTCGCGCTTTTGCGCTTCTTGTATAAACATACATATTTTTACAAGTAAATGCAACAATTAATTATCTTATTTGTGTTACTATGCACGAAGAAGAACGACCGAGTATGAAAATCAAATTAGGTTAGAACTAACAAGGAGGGCAGATTTCACTTTTTATTTTAATTAAAAATTTTACTTATATGTACTTAAACGATGTCCGCAACTATATAGTAAATTAGTCTAACATTAGTGTTCAAGTTTAAAACGAATGGACTCTACTGACAGCATAATGCTAAAAACTGAAATGTGTATTAACTGTTTGATACCTCAGACCTGCTCTAAAAAAGTTTCAGCAACGAGTTATCATTCATAACAGCGAACCCTAAGGCCTAATGTATGCGAAGGTCATTTATAAACAGTACGTGGATAGACACAAATTGATTCATTATTCATTAAAGGAAAAAGGCTTTCACATGTACGTGTATGAATTTAACTGAACATGAACATGCTCTGCTCTTATTTTGTTTATTTGTTTAATGGACGTTGAAATTGAATACTGTTCGTTATTTCCATATCCTTCATTTAATCACAATTATCGGGTATATTAAATTATTAATTTAATTTCATTATTTCCTGTAATTTATACTGTTTCTCATTTATTTTTAATGCAGAAAATTACCATGAATTATTTTCCTCCAGTAAGAATTAGCTTTAAATTATATATGGAATTAAATTTAATTTAAAAAAAAGAATTAGCTATTTAAATAGATATCATCAATATATGGCCAATTTCCATACTATAGATATTCAAAAGGAATTTGGCTTTTAGAAAATTTTTTGTTAATTTTGCCAAGTATTATTTTTCAGTCATGATTATTTTTACTGACATATCAATTTAATTATTGTTAATTTCTCTATCTCTATAATACTCAGTTTTGAGGGTTTTATTTGTAAATGTTAGTATGCACATCTGTAAATCACCAGAATGAAACCATCAGATTATGTTCAAAATTAACTAATGCTGAAACAGGTCGAGGAAACTACCTTATATGGATATTGTTGCGATTGCGCACAGAGGTGCCCACAGCAAACAATTGTCCAATCCAGTGAATGAGCCGAAAAGCATGATGGTCTACTACATGTTTATTTTTACTACAAACACGTGGCTCGGGGAATTTTAGGACGCAATTTCAAACGACTGCAGGAAAGTCAGCTTACAATTTATTTTGAAATTTGTCATGAAAAATACGAATATTGGGTACTTATTAAGATTCCCCATGCTCACATTAACAAACAAAGTAAGTTATCCTTGTTAAATAGTACTTTGAAATACCGCTCACAAAATCATCACAAGTAAATAAGACAAGTTCTTTAACTCGATATATTCTTTAATTTGCCATGTTACTGGTTATATTTATTTAATTGTTGCTCAGTTATTTGTTACCAGAAATTAAAACTTGCATTTTATAAACTAAAAAAAGATTCTTAAGTTGCATTTTTAAAAAAATTATTTACCTGTTATATAAACCCTCATGCACATTGATCATAGAACATGAGAAGCATATATTTTGAAGTTCTGTACGTTATAAACATTGACAATACGTGAGCACACCTCAGAGTTGATTGTTTTGGACCAAGGAATAGTCACGTGAAATTGACTTTTCACCAACAGTACAGCTATACAGCACGGGGAAAGCTGTCAACAAACGGACTTGTACAACGGAGTGGAGAAACCCCTAATTTTTATCATTGTAAATCATTTGTATATAAATGTGAGCATGGAATCAGTAGATAATAATGCTCATATTGTATTAAGCGTGTAAAATGCTTGGAAAAATGCATCACGTTTTTCCGAGAGCGATTTTAAAAAATTAGTCTTATAGAAACACGCGTGTAGTATTTTTGTAGTAGACAATAATGCAACTCATTGAGCTGATTGGTCGATTTGTCAGTCACGTTGGTTCCACACTTAACATGTAAATTTATTCCGACGTCACAGAAAATAGTTTCCTCGACCTGTGAAAGAAATTCATACACATTTCATTCATCAATTTAAATTCTGCATTATATACCGGTAGATGGAAATTAGCGTCATTGTTGACCAGCATGTTCAATGATGTGAAAAGCTGATACGTATACCAAAATAACAAATAAACTGCGGGTGTTGATACCATGTAATTAACAGTGCATATAATTTTACATTAACTAATAAAATAGACCTACATGTAGATTTTTTTCTCATGAATCTGTAGTGTATTTTAGGGATAAAAATCTACTTCTAACTTCCTTATTTACTAACTTAATTTATTAAAAAAAATATTCTAACTACATTTGTGTTAAAGTACAGTCTCTGAAAATATTAATTAACTATAATATTCTCTACTTATCAAAAATTGTAAGAAATCCTTGCTATTTTAATAGTTTAAACTCCTCTCTGCTGTACGTAAACAAAACAACTGGGAGCCTGCAAATTCAGAATGCACAAGCTCCCACACACCTCCCACTCACAACGGCCTGCAGTGGCTAAAACAAAAAACAGTCCGTCAATAAAAATAGGGAGCTTAAATTTTCAATGATAGATTAGTAGTAATTTAATCAAAACATACTTATTATTAGAATGCTTAGAGGTCATTTATGTTGTTCTCTCGAACTTAAAGCATGACTTATGTACGTAATCAAATCATCTAAATGGAGTTCTCTGTTCACATGGTAGTTTAAGTCAGCC